TCACTGAAGACAATGAGCACTTCAGTAACGCCAACGGGTTTTCCATTTATGCAGTCTGATCTGCTCCTGACCACAACCTCAGCTTTCTAAATACAGATGAATTGCAATTTGGTGCCTCACTGTGCGAAGAAGCCACATGTGATTACATTGTGCACAAATAAAGTCTCAGAGAATGAAATAGCTACTTGTTTAAGAGAGTCTTAATGGCTAAAACTAAAGGGGCAGTTTACATATATTTCAGATTTTTAAATTAGATTGGTGACATATCAGTCATTATTTTCACAAAATGTTACATTTAATTGGTACAGAAAGGGAAGGACTTTGCTTAAACAGACATGTAAACGTGAAGTAAAAAGAGGAATCAAAGAGTAAATAAACACAGTAGCCAGCCAATAAACTAAACTCAACTACAAAAAGAAGGATGTGAAGAAAAATGAACTCTGGAAGGAACACACACAGAGTAGGTACGGCCACTTTAATCTGTTTTCTTTTCAACGGCCTCCAGCGCCTAGAAGAAGTTGAATGTGATGTTGTAAAAAAAAAAAAAGAAGGTATATTCACTTTTGGGAAACAGTCTCACATTATGAAACAGCTTTACAATACTGGTACCATAATCACTCAGACATTTCTATAAAATAAAGGCAACTAAGTTTATTTTTTGAACTATTTCTTTACTCTTTTAGATTGATGAGGGTGTCTAGGAACATAATCCTGTTTATTTGGCTGCACAGTGCAGCAGTTTTTAAGCCCTGTTGCCTCGGAGAAAGAAGGCAGTCGGTTCAAGTTGCAGGAGGGACTTTCTGTAAGAAATTTGCACATTCTCCTTGTGAATGCGTGGCCTCTCTCTGGGTACTCTGACTTTCACCCTTTATCCACCTCATGAGTGTACCTCACCCTCTAATCCGTTTAATCTGCTGGAGACAGGACAGAGAGTTGAGAAGAGCAAATTCTTCATGTTTCCTGTGTGAACAGGAAGAAAAATATTCAGTTTTTCTTTGCCATTGTATAAAATCGGAAAGACAAGAAAGCATGGCAGAGGTGAGAAAATAACCTGCTTCTTTTGGTTTTAAGAAAAAGATAGTTTAACACTGAAGTACAAACACCTGTATTTGCAATCTCAACAACAAATGCTTAAACTTACTGGCAAAGGATGTTTTATTATTATTATTATTATTATTATTATTATTATTATTATTATTATTATTATAGTAGTAGTAGTAGTAGTAGTAGTAGTAGTAGTAGTAGTAGTAGTAGTATATTGCCTGAACACACACAGTCAGGAAGAAAGGTGAAGAAAAAGCAAAATAAACAAAAACTCCAATATCACAACTGTCCAAAATATATATTTGAATCTTTCTCTACCATTTCTTAAACTACACTTTTTAATATTGTTCAATATGAATGCCCTTTTTCAGTCATAAACATGCAAGCTACAAATTTGTATGAGAAAGACACTATAATCTGGGATTTTTCCCAAATGTTGTCATTAATAGGTTGTTGTTTTGAGTGTGTTGTTTTGCTTTGCATGGCCTTCTGTTTTCATTGCTAATGAGCAAATATGTGCACATGAACATCCCAAAGTCCAAAGATCATTATTCCCTGCTGAGAGGCAGCCTGCTGGCGTTGCTTCTGTGAACATGTAGGTGGATGCTTGCACGTTGTTCCACTGAAAACCAGTAGCGTTCATCTGTGGTGCTCGGAGAAGCAAAAGACCATTTGTTCAAAGACCACATGAGGGCAGCAACGTATGTAAATAGACGGATTTCTGGAGCTTCTTAAAAGATAAATTCATTTAAAAAAATGTAAACTAAGAAAACATGTAATTTTCTTGTATGGGTTGAAAAGATTTTTGTTGCTGTAGGAGGTTTGTGTTGACACACACGGTGTAAAGACATTTGCTGTTTCTAACAGGTTATCTTCCAGGATCGGTCTTCATTTACTTTCCATCCATGGCTCAGTTTCAATCATTTGCAGAAGAAAAACATCCCACCTAGACTTGTTATGGTTTGCTTTCTTTTTGCCAAACTTTTATACAGGGCAAATTTGTGGCACAAAGAAATACTAGTTGTTCTGGCAAAGGGCCTTCCAACCTAAGCTGTGGATCTCTGCAGCTCATCCAGGCGCTACCATGGGCCTCTTGACTGAATGATACCCATTAGACTAAGTATTTGCACATTGAACAAAATGTTCAGTGTTGGCTTAATTTAAATCTATACAAATCCTCTGTTTCTGACACATGCGACTGACAGGATCAGAATGGCTAAATTAGCGAGGATCGGCCCCTTTTTTCACTTTTACAGACACTTTTTAAAGCATCCAATGTTCTTCTAGCTCAAGTCAATATACATTTGAAAAAAAAAACAAGAATCACTTTCTCCCAAATTTCTACTCTAAATGTGTTCGAAAAGCAAAGTTGGAAGGCTAAATGGACTAACTCCGATAAAGTTATGCAGCCATTTATATCCTTTCTAACTGAATCCACATATAGATTAAATATTCATTGTTCTCTTAACACTGTTAAAAAGGATCCAGTCTTGAGGGACATCCTGTACCTTTGAAATGCTCCAGAATCTTCATCAACTTCATGGTGACTTTATCTGCTTGCCATTCGCCACTATTTTCATGATGAAAATATTTTTAGCAAAGCTTTCAGTGTCCGGATAGGCCATTACAGTGAGACCAGATTCATAATGGGAAGCTCCTGGAACTGAATTCAGCTGCTATAAATATCCTTTGTCAAACTAATTTATCCTGTAATGGAGCCAAACTGACAGATGCAAAAAGTTCTGATTGAAGTATCACTGCCAGCAAGTTAAAAGCAAAGATTCTAACAAAGAAACATAAATGTAACGTAAAGTAGTGCCTCCAGATGGCTTTGTCATCTGGAGGCAAAGCCATCTGGATTTAATTTGGCTGTTAAATCCACTGCAGGGACTCTTGTTGGAATGTAACACCCGATTTATATAAGATCCTTTACTCTTATCTGTTTCCAGGAACTGTTTTCATGGAAAACACAGAGCAAGAACACCAATTATAGTCATATTTGTCAACTGTTATGCAATAAGAGAGCAGGAGCTTCTTAAAAATTTCAGTGTAAGTGAAAATTTCTAAAACTTAATATTGCCATTTGGGATTGTTCTTTTATGACCTAGAATTTAACTCTGATTGTTCTGAAAAATCTTAAAGAGAAGATCATTTCCAAAGAAAAGTTTTGTTTTAGCTAAATTGTGTTGAATATATTTAAGAGCCAACATTATTTCATGTTTCAACAGAAATGACTTCTTGGCCATTTTAATGTACAATGGCTGCTGGAGTTTCTTATAAAATGTCCTGGTAACTTGCTCAGTTGTGCATTTAAATGTCACATTATGTTGTAGAAATGTACATTTTAAAATAACAATGTTAATTTTAAAACCCAATAGAAAATTTTAGAATTTGGACATCTGCACAACATTTTGTATTTATATTTCTTATAAAGGGTTTTGTAAAACTAAATAAAGTTCTCAATATGGTGTAAGTTGTGTGTTTGGTGCTTTTGGGGTGTCAAGCAATTCAAGCAGAATGGAAATGTTAGACAAATAAATAGTTTTAATGTACAGACTGGCATACCAAGGGATGTCTTTAATATGTTCTCTTAAACATATTAAATATAATATTAAAGTTAAGCCTAACTGAGAATCTGCAGCAAAATGTTCTCTATCAAAAACGACTGTTTTTGTAACATGACAAGACTGTGAATACTTTACTGAAGCACTGTTTCACTGCAATGTGGTTCTGTTATGAATTCAGGGCACTAAGTGGACAATCTTCAGTGTGAAAATGTCACAGTCTGATGACATTTGGTGCATTATGAAAATATAAAACCACTTTTTGTGTTTAATTCTGGAACAGCCTCTGGACATGAAAAATTAAGCAAATGGCAATTTTTCACAACTAATTGAATTATGAGACCAGTCAAGCATGGATCAGACTTTTAATGGCTTCCTCTTTTTGAAGTTTTGACAGTGTAGTGAGGTTCAGAGCTTAGCGTGACCACACACTGTTTGCCTCATTGAGTAATTGTGCTTCTCATAATAAATTTAATATAAAATGCCTTGCAAAGTGAGTGAATGAAATAATTCCTAGTTCTCTTTCAGAAAACAGCTCGCTTCAGTCAGACTGGATTCTTTTAGCAGTAATTGTTCAGGGTTGTTGTCCTGCTGGAAAGCAAACCTCCACCTATGCAGACTCAAGTCTTGAGCAACCTCTTCTATTTTTTAGTTTTACAAAATTGCCCTGATTTTAGCTTCATCCATTTTCCCGATCTATGATGACCAACTTTCCTTTCCATGTTGAACAGAACAATCCCCACAGCATGATGCTGCCGCCACCACATTTCACAATGGGGGATGGTATCTTTAAGGTGAAATGTTAGTTTTCCTCCACACACTGCATGCCACATGCTGTCAAAAACACTTCAATCCTGGTGCTTTATTTTGTTGTGTCACCTAAATGATTCGTGGCAGGATGCAGACATGCGTATGCATTTATTCTTGCACTCTTCCAAATTTAATTTGAGTGCATGATGAATAATTGTCTTCTATGAGTGGACAACTCATAGAAGTTGTCCACTCAACTTCTACGAGTTGAGTGGAGTTTACAGGGGGGGGTCTTGGTTTATTTCCCAAAATACCAATAAAATAGATTGAAGTTGTGACTGTAGCATTACAAAATGTGAAAAAGTTTTAGCCAGATAAAAAAATGCTATGTACCAGTTTATCCAAGTAGACAAGTCCTTCATATTGTTTATCGTTCTTTCTTGCATTCAGTGAGATTAAATTATTTTATTATGTTCTTCTCCTTTGTACAGTTCATAGTTTTGCATAACTGCATGTAGAAAATGGCCCCCTCTGTGTTTATTGTTAACTCATTCCTCTCCTCCCTACTCTTTTTACCCTCTGTGTCTCTTTCTCTCTCCTCATCCACTACTCTCAGTTTCTTTCTTTCCTTTTGCTCACTCTGGTCCCTTCCTCCTCTTGCTCTCTCTCTCCCTCCACTCCTGCACATCTCTGTCACACAATTGCAGACTCGCAGCGGCTCTCCCCCCTGAGCATCATCTCCACTATCGGAGATCCTCCTCGTGTCTTGTGTTCTGCTGGGTGGACGCACGCCCCACAGTCACCATTTCTGCCCCGGAGAGCTCCAGGCTGGCAGCACAGCCCCTTCCCAGGCTGAGCATCGGGCGGAAGACCCTGGTGGCAGCTGCAGTGGGGGTCATGCTGGTCCTGGTTCTGGTGGTCCTCATCCCTGTGCTCGTCAGCTCTGTGGGTGCTGGTGGCACAGATGACAGCGCGAGCCACTATGAGATGTTGGGTACCTGCCGGATGGTGTGTGACCCCTTCCCCAGCACGGGCACCACAGGAACAGGGATCCACATGGACACATCAACCAGTGGCTTCCTGGTGGACAATGAGGAAGACCTAAGCGATCACAGCATCAGCCCTTCACTGCCTACATACAGCACAAACGGCCCACAGGGAAAACCAGGACGTCAGGGCAAACCTGGACCTCCAGGACCTCCTGGAGAACCGGGTCCACCGGGCCCAAAAGGGCCTCCGGGGGACAGCGGAGACATAGTTCGGACGGGGATCCTGGGAGCGGTTAGCACAACCACCTACAACACCACTCCTCGAGTGGCGTTTTATGCAGGACTCCGAAACCCCCAAGAAGGCTATGACATTTTGCGATTCGATGATGTGGTAACTAACATCGGGGGGAACTACGAGGGAAAGACGGGCAAGTTCACCTGTAAGATTCCAGGGACCTACTTTTTTATCTACAACGTTTTGATGAGAGGAGGAGACGGCACCAGCATGTGGGCTGACCTGATCAAAAACAATCAGGTGGGTGATGCTTTTGACACACGTTCTGTGAAATGCCAAAGGTGTAGCTTTTTAAAACCATAAAGATCCATTTTTACCCCATTGTCTATTGGCAGCAAATAAATAAATAAATATTTCTTATTCTTTTTATGCTCAGAAACATGCCTGTCACAAATTCAACATTTAATTTCCCTTTGTGATCAATAAAGTATTTCTGAATTGAATTGACTTGAATAACTGAGTGAAAACTGTAACATTTGGCTCATATTTTAACATTTGCTTGTCCAATTTACTTAAAATAACTGTTCTAGATATCTTAATCTCTTTTATGAATATATATTTCCTCATTTGGCTTTTCTTATCTTAACAAATTTCTTCTCCCCTCTATTGAATTGTAATATAGAACAAAAGAAATCGTTGAATTCCTCATCATCTTAATATTTTTGAGTATCTAAAATATCTCAATCTTTCTATTTCTGGTGACATTTATGGACTCTCTGTTCAATATTATCCCATTTAGATTTTAACTCCATAACTTCACCTGTAGATCTTTATCTTATAAACACTTATAAACATGGTAACTGTAACTATTAGTTTAACTAATCTGCAAAAAAAATTTGGTCCCAAGAATAGTAAGTTAAGTACTATTTTAATGCAGCAATATTTAGGGTTGTACAAGTGTTTATTTATTTATTTATTTTTACTATAGTAAACACAACAGTGGTCAATATTTTAAGTTAAGGTGTAACCAGTGATGCATAATGCTTACTTTTTTCTTTACTTTGGTAAAACAAAACAAGGCAGAATGGGTCAAATCCAACCAAAAGCAGCTGAAATCTGTGAATACTTGAGACCCCTTTTAAAAATACTTACCTGCCTATTTTAATAGCTTAAACACTAAGTGTATCTAAATGTGGATTGACGCAGACAATGGAAACCGTTTTGGCATTATCACAGAAGCTAACATCTGCATTCTGCCTTATTTCCACTACAGCCAACCACTGCCAAGGAAAATGAACGGTGCTCCTGGATTAGCTGCTTTGCAAAGGCCAGCCAGCAGCATGTGAAGTAGCATCGTGCCAAGTTGTTCAAACTTCTCAAACTGCATTTTCTTCAGCTATTTCGGATGGTTTATAAACAATTTGCAAATAGGCAGATTTTCTGCAAGTGACTTGGAGTCATAAATGCACAAACACTGGATCTATTTTACACTATCACATTCTCATAAAGTAATGTCTTTTGAATATCTGCCCTTCTGGAGTGATCAGTATGCAGGGAAGGGTTAAATCATGCAACCACAGTGTGATGGCCTCGCTTAGGGAAAGATGCAAACAGTTTCCAGGCAGTCTTAATTGGGTATTCATGTGTGCAATGATTTTAGACTTGTCTGGTGTTAAAGTCTGGTGTAATGACAATCCACACTGGCATGCTGCCAGATTGAATTTCTATGGATTTTTGCACATCATGTGATGATGTACACGTTGACATGAGTAGAGGGAGTGCTGCGCTATCTCTGCTGAGCACACATCAGAAAACAGCCCGGGGTTGTGGCTAGTTCAAAGCGGTTGCCCTTTAAAATACAACAAGCTTTATGGAGTCTTGGTGTGCCAGCACGCGTTATCAGGCCGGCTGTCGGGCCAAAACGTTTGATTATCGATTCATGATATTTGCTAAATTCACGGGTGATTTTGTAACGTCCTAAATGGCTGCGGGCGATGACACCAACCAAACAACATATTCATCTGAGCTTGTAAACATCTCATCCAGGCTTCAACAGACTAAACAGGGAGCGGACACAATAACATTCCAGATATTTTAAAGTGTCTTGTTCATGGAAGTAATATTTTTTGTAGAACATCTTACAAAATATAAGACCATAGCTTTGCATTTGGTGCTGCTAAATAGAATGATGAAGACAGAGCGCACTAAAAAATCATAATGCTGTCTGATGGGATCACATCAGTTTCAAGGTGTTCATGTTTTTCTCCTTAAGGAGGCGAATATTATAAGACATAAAACAAAAGCAGCTCCTAATAAATAACTTTCTCTACGCTGACAGACATGTCACAAATACTGTTTGTATGGCTGTTATGTTGGTTTATTTTCACTGTGTTCTGTTCTTTACTGTAGGCTTGATTGCATTAAAATTGTTTTAGGAGATAATCTCAGTCTATGAGAAAAGTCCTTGTGAGAGCAAACACAACCAGATTATTGCCCACCAGGAGATATATTCAATTACTTGTCTGATCTAAGCATATCAGTTTGTTGTTTCGACCAAGAAAAGACAACTTCCTGTGATATTTAATCACAATAAAACAAAAGAGGTGACTCTCCATCAGAGCACTGAATAAGAAATGTCACATCCAACCGTCTCTGTGGTGAGACTGAGCATAAAAAACTGGGCATAGCACATGAACCACTCATTTTTTAAGTATTTGTATCTTTGGAGGACAACAAAGCTAATTTTTTTCCAAGTTAATGAGTTATTTCTAAAAGTGCCATCTGTCACTATTTCTTCAGATTTCACTCCATTAACTCTGTTTCATAAATTTTGTCCCACTGTTATTTTTTTAACAAGATAGTATAATTTTTATGAATATAAATACAAGCTCTGTGAAAACTTTATTCTATGATGCCCCATCCAGAGTTTCTGCTGGCTCTCCAGGGAAGAGTCACTGAGCCAAAGGTTTCTCCTATTATTCAAAATTCAGTGGCATCTAGTTTCTCAGGGGATCCGTGTCCTGGTTCAGCACACCAGAATCAAATGAATGGGTCATTACCAGGCCTCTGCAGAACTTGGGGCTGTAATTTAGACATTTGAGTTGACTGTGCAGGACGAGAGACTCATCTAAAACTTGGACTTCATGAACTACAGAGCTTTGTAAAAGTGCTCACACCACTTTCCACTTTCTATCTTTTTACAACCATAAACTTGAATGTATTTAGTGGGATTTCATGAGACAGATTTATACAAAACAGTGCAATACTTTAACAGAAGGGATGTGACACATGGTTTTCAACATGTTTTACATCTTTTGCAAATTTTCAACGGGTATAAATACTATTGGAAGCCAATCTATATATTGAGAGATTACAGAAGCAAGAGCAGCAATAACAATTTTGACATGTTCATATTGTAATAAATAAATGGCACACAGAGTACAAAACCTAAAGCATATCAACAGTTTTATTCAACATCTCTGAGTCAATGGTAGATATTGTGGAACACAGTAGAAGCAGCTTAGGACGGCTAAAAATTCATCATCATGCCGTCATCTGTCCTGTAGCTTTCCATCTCAAATTGTGCACATATCTTCACAACTCCATTAGAGGATAATGTTTTTATTTTTGGTTCAGCTAACCTGTCGTCACAATCTTTGTCAGCAAGCGGATTAAACTTTTATGGATGGCACAGTAAAGCTGGAGTAAAGCCTCAGAGGGGATCTGTCTTCCAGCAGCTGCATGCTAAGGAACTTACCCCGAGACAGGCGAGCAGATTTGGGGATGATGCGCCCAAACCAACACCCTCCGTAATTACCCTGTGTTGACAAAATGACACTTATGTGTGGCAAAACGTGGCAGTTTCTAGCGTTTCACCCAACAAAATGAGGACATGCGAGTGGAAGATGAGGGGAAGGGATAGTATGTACTGACTTTGTTCCTCACAGGCAGACTGACTCAAGTTTGACCCGTTTGGTTGAGTCATAATATAAAAAACAAGATATTCACCAGGGGGGACGCACTCACACAAAGTCAAACTTCTTAATTCAGGCTTTACTTTTCTACAAGTTTTCTTGTAATGACATTAAACCTTATCACTTCAAGAATAAACTGTTAAAAAAAAAAGGTTGATACTTGGTTTTCCTTTAGTTCTATTTACTGGCAGCATTTTCTTTCTATTTCTTCCCACATTTCTTCTGCTTTTGTATTTTTCCCCACACATATAGATCATCAAGCAAATATAATTAATATCAGACAAAGGTAAACTGAGGAAATACAGAGAATGAGTTTTCAAGTGATGTCGTCGTTATTAAAGGAAAATAGCTACCAAAACCAACATGGCCCAACATGTGAAAGAATAATTGCCCCCTGAGCCTAATAACCGGTTGTGCCAGTCTTGTGCCAGCCTTGTGCCATCAAGCGTTTACAATAGTTGGCAATGAAACTTCAGCCCACGCTTCTTTTTAGGAAATGTCTTAATTCAGTCACATTAAAAAGGTCTAAGGGGATGAACGGCCTGTTCAAGGTCACAGCATCTCATCTGGATTTGAAACTGCACTTTTGTACAAATATGTTTTTTCCATAATTGTCAAAACTGTCATCAAGGTCTGACAATATAGTATGAGACGGATAAGCTGTGAAAAAAATTAAGCTTTTCCTCCACTTCATTGAGGCATATTAGAACTGAAAGACATGCACCGCTCTTGGTCAAAAACAACCAATCAGAGCCAGGAGGAAGGACCTGATGGAAGCTGTTAGCACATTGCTGCTCAATGTGCTAACAGCTTACCAATTACCATAACTTCGTAAGTTAATGTACCATCAATTGTAACAAATTGTAATAGTTGATGGTACATGCTGCCACCTTCCATGACTGACTTGTGGGATCACGTTCTTTTCCTGAAACACAGTGGTAATTTTAGACGTAATGGGGGAAAAAAGCTTGCCGCACCGAGACAGGCGGCTGAAAGCACCATTAGCTCACATTACATTCTGTGATCCCTTGATTTTTCCACATTGATGGCTGATGTTTCTTGAACTTTTTTTTTTTTTTTTACAAAAACTTAATCTTGTAAGGAGTTTCTGGGAAATTTGAGACAGGCCTTTTGCTTCTTTTTATCACCTTTGTCCAGTCTTTTTGTCATCGTTAAATCAACTTAGCTAAGGCAAGTTTGGGTTGCAGTTTTTTGATCTGGCTTCTTCTATGGCCTCCTAAATAAATTTTTGATGTATTCTGGGAGAAATGTTGACAGGCTGGCCTCTCTTGGGAACAGGTTCCCCCTCTGTTCCAGGTTTTCTCTTTTTGTGGATAATGGCTCTGACTTTTTGAGATTCTGCAGCCTACTTCATGTTGCCAGACAAGTTCTATTGAGATGATTCCTTTCTGGTATGAATCAGACTTGTGACCCAACTTTTCAAATGATTTTTTCTATCATTGATAAATGATCATTTAACAGGAGGAGTAATTTTTCATAAAAGGCCATGATGTCTTTCATTTATTTTCCACACCAATAATTGGAATAATTATTTCAAAGCCGACATTTTTATCGATTGATTATTTGAAACATGCAAAAACAAAAACAGGAGAAATTTATGGGAGGGCAAATACTTTACTTTTCGACAGCACCTTTTTTTAAAATTAATTTTGCTGATCAGCAAAAAGGGAATGTTTTCGGATCCTCAGTGACTAATTCTCTTCTCTAACCTCCTATTGCATTTCTTTGTGTTTAAAATTCCAGGTCAGAGCCAGTGCTATTGCCCAAGACCAAGACCAGAGTTATGACTATGCCAGCAACAGTGTCATACTTCATCTGGATGCAGGTGATGAGGTTTTCATCAAACTGGATGGGGGCAAAGCTCATGGGGGCAACAGCAACAAATACAGCACCTTCTCTGGGTTCATCCTCTATGCCGACTGACAACCGGGCAGAACAGGAGGCTGGGAGGTGAAAGGTCCCAGCCGCAGACATTTACTTCCTGACTTCCACTTGGCATTCTTGCAGTGAGGTTAATGTCACAGTCACCGCTCCACAGTCTTTAAAGTAATGTAATGATGATGCACGCTGCAGTTTTGTAGTTTTCGCTAATCTCTTAATCTGTTTCAATACAACATGATTACGTACTGGGTGCCTATGCTGCTAACATTATGGACATGTGTCATGCGGTAGCAACTGTGACAGCACAGAGAGGCCATGCCATCATTCCTCAGCTGTCATGTCAAATTCAAGTCTGGAAATCCCACAGTGGTGGAGGCCTCAGTGTTAGTAAATGTGCTCTCTGGGTTTATGTTATGGTTATGTCTTTGCTTTCACATGCTGTCTGTGTGATAAGATGTTTTCCATCAGTGGAGGAGGAGTCCTGCCTCAAGACATTTGTCAAAAATGTGGATGTAAGAATGAGACCATGATGTCCGAATGCCAGAGCGTAAGAAAAGGTTTCAATGTGATGATTTGAAAAGGCGTGTCATATATTAGACCTACGTTACATCTTTAATCTTTATTAAGGACAGTGCACATTAATGAACAATCAACACTACTGTATAGACTGTAAATGAGCCAGATTATAGCATAATTGCTAATTTCCATCTGTAGTCCTAGACAAGGAGACCCAAACAACCTAAAGACATTATAAACATACAATCAAGAATTAACAAACATTTAACAAACATTAACAAACATTAACAAACATTCAGATTAAAATGCTCGGTTGATTAGCACCTCAATATGTAGTGTTATACCGTACACAAATGGAAGCACAAATCTAATGTCCTAATGTAAGATTTTTCAATATAAGACAAGTTTATTTTAAGGCTATTGACACATCTTTACCAGGAGAGCCAATAAAAGTGGAGGGTGATGTATGTAATATTTGGCATATTGTATAACATGTAAATTCGATATTAACTCTGTATCTCAATACAGACAAAGCATTATCAACCATATACATTTTATTGTGTTTCTAAAAAAAACATTATGTATTGAATGATGACTGTGTAATTTTATTATTTCATGTGCAGGTTTAATTATTTGATCAATGCATGCAAAGTCAAAATGTTTTGTTTCCATAAAATGATAAATGATGATTTAAAACTGTTTTAAAAAGCTAAATGTGGCCATTATTTGCTGCCTTTACTCACAAACTTCAATTAAAAGAATAACTCTTTTAGCATTTACCAACATTATACACAGTCAGTGTCACTCTTCTCATCAGGTTCACTGATCAGCCACTCTGATCTCCTCATTAAACTGTGAAACAAGCCTTTAGTCCTTCAAATGTTACACAAAAAAAGAATCTCAGCAGCACAGCAAGAGGCAATCAACACGGAGGAGATCACAGCTACGTTAAATACCAAATGAAGCGGGGGATTATTGTGATTTACAATCAAAGATGATACATTGGTTTTGGTCTTTTAATACGTGTGGATGTGGTGAGATACGGCAGGAGCAAGTTATGAGACGGGTGTTCGGACAGATCACAACAAAGCTTAGATCTGCCCTGCAAAGTGATAGGGGGGGATTAGGCTCTGCTGTGACTGCAACACAGCTGTCAGATACCAGAAAGTAACTCTAGGGCATGAACTGTTGAAACTGTCTGTTTTATCAAGAGCTTCTTTGACAATATGAAATTCTTTGGACACGATTCACCTTTGACTTGGGCCACCAAACTGTCCCTTATCCAGTTTGAAACACAAACTTAAAAGTTCAAAAGTAAAAAGTTAGGGATTTTCTTAGCTATGGAAGCAAAGGATTACCGGTAATTCAGTGCAAGATCGCCACAATGACTTCTACTGTCTTCCCTGTTATCTGTTTTAACTGCTGTGTGCATTAAAAGCCAGAACACCCTCTGGTCTAAACTGAAGCCTGTCTTAAGACAGCAAAAAAAATTCCTCCAGACACAATTAAGACTGAGGTTTTGTGCATAGGCAGAGGTCAACAGAGCCACATGGCCGTATAGAATGCCAGGCCAGCACAGGCTGTTTTCTCCTTGCAGGGTGTATGAGCACATCGTCACATTAGAGATGTCACGACGTCAAAGACAAATGCCCCCGGTGGTGGGAGAAGCCGAGCTCTCTCTGCAGAGACCTCAGGATGCAGCAGATTTTCTTGAAGTCTTTGAGTGACATGAGTGAAAGTGTATAAACAGCCTGCAAATATTGAACATTTCAAGCAATTTTTGTCAGGAAAAATCATCAGCAAAACACAGGTTCTGTCTTCTTTCTGATAGCAAACAAGAGGCTGCTTCAGTTTGATGAATGAAAACAGCTTTAGACTTGTTGCATAGATCAGAAACAAGACATACAGATTTACAGAAGTGGTCTGCCTCCTGCATTTTTTCTGTTTTTGGATCATTTATGATTTCCTTTATTCAGGGTAAATACAAAAAGAAAAATGGCAAATGTGAAAAAGTGGTTGTAGACATTAAGTACTTTTGATAACAAGTAATCTTATACACTGCAACGGAGGGACGTTTTGGCCCACTCTTCTTTGCAGAGTTGTTTTAATTCAGTTTCATTGTTGGGTTTTAAACATGAAAAACCCCTTTACGGTCAAGCCAAAGAATCTCAACTGGATTCAAATCCTAACTTGGACTAGACCAGTTAATTTAGTTTTTTGTTTTAGTTATTTAGAGGTGGGTTTGATGGAATCTTTGAATCATTGACTGCTGCATAATCCAAGTACATATCATGATTTTCTAAAAGAGCAAAATTCATGGTTCCATCATTTATGACAAGTCATTCAGAACTTTGTGTATGATGTTCTGATAGCGTGACTGAAAAGCAAAAACAGAAGACATTTGGACACGCCAGTCCCAAAGTCGCCTCTTGGGAGACCTTCGGGTAGGTTTGAAATCTCTGCTCCTGCCTCTAATGCATTCATCGCAACACAGACTTAAGCTTTCTTCTGGGAGGTGCAGTAAGCTTCTTTTTATTTACACTCTTTCACAGAGCTTTGCAGATATTTAAAGAATTTCATCAGGATCTATTTTCATAGCACGTAAGCCGGGGGATTTGCCATATTAAGTCTCGGCAGTGGACTTAACGTAGGTAATCTTAGGTTTATGCAAAAGCCACAGGAAGAGCATTTTGAGTTATTCATTTACACACGCTGCCTTGCAAGGAAACAGAGACAGCTCCAGTCTGACATTTGCAGGGGCAAAGTTGTTGAGGCGTGAGTCTTATCAGGCTAGTCTTATCAGGCTACTGCAGAGCGCGCGTGGACCCTTGAAGAGAAGCGCGTGCGAGTGTGTGGGGTCAACGCTGTCCGTGTGCTCTCCTTCGTGTCTCCATAGAGACGGGACTCGGCCTCCCATGAAATGTCTGAAGTGACGTTAATGAGCCCTTGCTGTTGTTATCTTGAGTATTCCTTCTGAACTCACCGGGGGAGATCCGAGTCAGAGATAGATGTTTTAACTGTCAGGCCAAATTGCCCTTCATGCCAATGCATGCTTCCTACGACGAAATGAGCAAGCCACCTTCCCACACTCTTCATTGGCTTTATTGGTGTGGGCATGCAATCCTGGCATCTCTTTCTTACGATGGGTTTCGCACAGTGACTTAAAACAATCTACATTTTCTCCTACTTGTTCATTATGACACAGTGCTAAAGCTCAAAACAACACAACGCAAACACTCTACACATGCCAGACTTAGTTAGCGGCTGTGCTTTGGATATAACGAAAAAGCAGGTTATTTTACGGTCACAGGTGGGTCATAAAAGGGCCAAACAATTCAATGAGAACGTGGAGGCTTAGTAAGCTTATCCACCTGTGTGATACAAAAACCAACCTTCTCAGCACCTTTTTGATGCCGATAGCCACTGACGTGGAACAGAATCTTCCCTGCTGTACCGCCGTCTCTTTCTGATGTGTCATCTCAAGGGTCACCACAAGCCCGAGTGTATCACCTTGGATCCTAAAAATAAACGGTAAGCGTTAACGTACACTGTAGCTGAACTCTTTCCTCAGGCAGCCGCAAGATCTGTGGAGCAGGAAGCCTCTTGCACTTATGCAAGATGAAGTTTGCAAACATGTCAGCAACACTGTTTTTTAAGAGGGGACAAGAGTGACCAGAGGATCTACAGTGCTTTGCAAAAACGTTCATGCCCCTTGGACCTTTTCACATTTTGTCACAATTCAACCCCAAACTTTAGCATGAACGCAATAAATAACGATAAAGTTGAAGGGAGCAGATGCATGTTTCTAATAATAAAATCTGAAAATTGTGGCCTCATTTGTATTTAGATCCCCGTTACTCGAAGACCACTTGGTAAAATCCAATCTTTTGGATACAGTGTTTAGTTCATCAAATAAAGAGCATGTCAAAACAAAGGCAGAGCAGATGATTCAGAAAAGATTAATCAGTTTTTATAATAATATGGGAATGTGTGAGCAGGTACAGATCCGCTTCTCAGATCTGACTCTGCAAGAAAGTTAGGACGATGAGTGACAGGTAAGGCCATCAGGTAACATTCAAACAAGAAGAAAAGATTTACTTGGATCATTTCCCAAACGTTCTTCTCCCAGGACTTCGTTTGACTGGAATACTTTACAGAAAGAAAGAGGAGAAAGTCTTTGTTTTTTGGAAATTGTTTCACGGGGTTTGTACAGAGAAGAAGACTCTATATGATGGTAATTGAGAGTGGTGAAGTAATGGAGAGGAAAAACTCCAGTAGCCAGGTAAGGTTGTTTACACTCAGCAATACAGAGGTCAGGTTTCTCCACGAAAAGGCAAATGATCACTCTGTCCATCGTCCTGAAATCTGTAGACAACTAAACAGGCTAAGTCAGCAACTGAGATGAGAGATGAGGCAGAACAAATCCAATATCCCAATTCAGGAGTCTGATCAGATGAAACCAAATTTAAAAAAGAAAAAGTAATACTGAACATTACCTTCCTCAATGTGAGGTGTGTGCTGTCACCATCCAGTGTGACTGACCTTCAATAATTTGCAAAGGTCTGTTGGTCAGGAAGAGATACAATCTTCCAGGTTTTAGGGACATGCGACTCTATAAAGTCACAAATTTTGAAAAACATAAACCGATTTCCTTCAGCTTTACAGCTACGCACCACTCTGTAACAGTTCGTAACACAAGAATTACTTGCTATAACATGACAAAATGGGAGAAAGTTTCAAGGAAGGCTTAAATAGGAAAAGAAGGAGAAGCAAAAAGGTTTGTGATCAACTCAGCATCAGTTACAGCTGTAATTACAGGGTATTCATCGAGTCATGGCAGCCTTAATCACAGCTGCTCACAGCAGCTCCGCCTTGCTGCCCACTTCAAATGGTGCCTCAGGCAGCAAGATCTTTATAGTGAAGCTCTGAACATGTAATTCCACCCCGGTTCTTATTAAAGCTACAAACAAGCTCAGCTAATATTTTGAGAAGATTGCCTTTACAATGAGGCCATAAACCATTTCTGAATGCTTCAAATCTTCAATCCTTTTTAGTTTTTGTTTTAGTTTAGTTCTCTTCCAGCCATGGTCTTTGGATTATTTTTGAACCTTTCAGTGGCATTCTGGTTTTCTATTTTGTTAGATTAACTCTAGACTTCGAAGTGGAGTCGTCTTTATTCCCGAAAGCATTTCAAAACTATGATCTGACTACTTTAGAACAATGGTGTCTTCCTGGCAAGGTGGTCACATAGAAGACTCTTTGTATATTGTAATATATTCACATAGAAGAAGACAAACAGTCTTCATATAGAAGTGTGACTGAATCCTTGTGTGCGGATTCAGTCACACAAGGCTGTCTGAATCCGCCTTGTGTGGATGCTGATTCAGTCAGCGTCCACACAAGGCTTATTGCGTCCCTCTGAGGTCGATTCACACATCTCAAAGTAACCGTTCATCTTCGGACACAGAATATGGAAAATCTTATGATATTTATTTTTATGTAGAACTGCTTGAACAGACGGAATGGAAAAAAATCTTCAAAAATCTAGAAATTGCAAACCTTACTCCTCATTTTGAGATGTAAAACACAAGTCAGCGTTGCTCTGTGTGCTATTTCGTAGTCCAATATATTCAGGACATTTCCATCTTTGGACTCTAACTGGGCAGACAGAGTTAAACCCCAAACACCTAATGCACTAGCATGTCTCATGCTTGTAGTAAGCAGTGACGTTTTTCTGTCATCAAGTCACTGAACGGTGTTATGTGGCGCCAATAGCTGCATCTTAACTGTATCATTGTTCTGTGGACCTACAACTGAAGGCTGTCCAGGAAGGAATGGTATTATACGGACCGGTTACAGGCTGGTTTTACAGTGGAAGCAGACCGAATCATGCCGTACGAGGCATTTTTAGAGGTCTTGAATGATTTCTTCCTTGAGTTCTGTAGATTTTGTCAGTGGGGGTGCATTCAAATAAGATTTGACATGTTTATAAAATTGCAAAACAGATAAAAAGTCTGCCCACAAAAGCATGGACTGAAGAAAGTGTAGTTTATTACAAGTTTTATTACAAGTTAAAAAAATCTTTAGGAAGAACAGCATATTTGATGGCTACTGGTGTAAATAACTTCAAATTGTGTTGTATCTGTTCAGGTTTTGCATTGTCTTCTTTCATTTTATGTTTTTGTGTTGTAATTTATATCTAAGAAGTTTTATGTTTTAGGATTTGAATATATTGCAATGATTTATGAATAGTAGTTATGTTCAACATGATATGTGCATGATGTGTCTTCATGTACCTTTTAAGTCAAGTAATTTAATTATTGTTTTTGAAATATGGATAGCAAGTTATTTGAATAATGAAAAATCAATTAAATCTTTCCTATGATGGCACACAAGACAGTATAGTACTGAAGCTGCTGTGTAAATATTGTTTTCTATTTTACACAGTTACGTGAATTTAAAACCTTTTATTAATTTTTATTTTTGTTTTTATTTGACAAAGCATTTTTCTTACAAGAATCCATAAAAAGAAATATCACCATCCGGCTCAGTATGGGCTCTGCTTTGGGACCGCAGTGTGTTTAGTATAAACAGAGAACACAACATTTGATGCTCCAAAAACTGATGTTACCTGATGCATGTGCAGCGCAAAAGGTGGAGATGCACTGAATTAATCACCTTGCATTACGGCAGAGGCACGGCTGCATGTGTGCACACATTACCCCATGTCCCCCGCGCTCCTTGAGAGAACGTGACATCGTGCAGCGATCTCCCCTCCCTCCTCTACCCGTGATAAGGGCCTTGTCCACTGTGTCAGTGACTCAATACCAACGGCCTTGTTCCCTCGTGTTCCTGACTGAGCCGGGCTAACGCAGGCGGACAGGTTGAGTCATGTTGCTGGAGATGCTCCGCTGGCGTGTTGCCTGTCTCTTCACCTCACCGCGGCCTCGTGGATGCAGCCTGACATTAGACTATGGAAGTGCTGCGAGTGTCCCTTTCCCCAGTATGACACTAGATGCCAGAGTTCAGGAGCACTGCAGTTGCTGTAGTTTCTCAGGCTAGTTTATTCTACTTGTTGGTGTCGAGCTGCATTTGGGGCTTTTGCGTGAAGGGAGAGGACGCACATGTTTTGTAATTTCTTCTTGTTTGTAACTGCTTCGGCAAACCTGTAAACTCTAGATAATTTAAAGAAAATTAAATTGCCTAAAAATACAACGATTCTTCAAAGAATTGAGACTTGAAGCTCAATTAAAAATGCTTTCATCGTTGTCACAGTGAAAGGTGAAAACAGATGCATCTTCTAAAAGGCTGTCTTCCAACATTGCTTTATTTAACTCAATCCATAATTTGACAAGTTTTCCTGAAGAAAAGAATCCCTCAGCATAATGTGGCCTCCGCCATGTTTCCCCATAAGGTGGTGGGGAGTTTTGAAGTTGCGCCACAGCTTTTCTATCATCTGAACATTGAACACTCCTTGTGAGATTTTTAAATACGGATACTGTTTTAGTACGTAATCCTGCTTCAAATTAATAAAATCTAATTAAGACACACTAATATCTATTGTTATAAATTAGAAAAACAGAAACAACTGATTTGTGTTTTAAATATTTCACATTTGCCCATTTTTTGTATTGACGTTTGTGACTGATATATTTGTCTTTTTCTTCCATTAACTTTTCTGATGACGCCTTTAAATTAAACTTTTTCAGTTTATTTCACCATTTTGACCAAAGCTCCCTGCAAGAAGAGATGATTTTAACATTATAACCAAAGGATTTATTTCTAATATTCGTTGCTCCATCTGCAGTTCCACAGCAGTGTTAGTTGGAAAATAATTTCAGTGGTACTGTATATAATTACTATATTTTCCTTCTACAATAATTGGGGAGAGTACAGTTCTAATTCAGATAAAAAAATTACATTAATTAAAGCGACAACCACTAGTTACTTGCTTCATATGTATAAGAGAACAAATGTTGGTTAAATAAATAAGTCTAACAATCCTTTCAGCAGCACTGGAGGTGAAAAGGTGCTCATGTCCAATAACAACAATTACAGCTGCGCCTCATCTAAAATTTGAAACTGAATAATTACTGAATTTATGGCATCGACATGATTGTAGATTAACAGTGATCCTCTACCCTGCTCCTCAATACGCAGTATCCTGCATATCTTAGAAATGTCCCTGCTCCACCATTACTGATGCAAATGGTTGAATTTAATCCTCAGCATGCCACCAAATGCTGCACAAGCCTGTTAATCACCCATTCTCCCAGTCCATCACACCACCACTCATGCAGGGCCATGGGTATTTGGCAGCAGAAGGTAATCTACCCGTACAATAATGCCGCGACTAGAACAGAATTTATAAAGTTTGATCGAACTGATCAGCGATAAAAAAGCTCTCGTTTCTCTTAAAGGTCTTTTAAAATAGCATATTAGTTTCCTTACATCTGTTACATTTAGTTATTTCTGCCACTATTTACTCAGTAGTAAAACATAATATTTTCTAAAAATAAAAGCTAAATCACTGGTGGTGGATTCTGAAAACATTCAATCCTCTGGACCATTGGAGTATTGTCTAAAAACAAACCTCCTCAATCAGGATCCAAACTCAAAACACTTCAGTTAGATCATGCTGTAGCAATTAGATAATGTTCATAGCTACATTGCATTATTGTTTGGCAGTAATATAAGCATGAGAGATGATGAAAACCCACTCAGACAAGAGATTACAAAATGTCGACACCGCATGGCGCCATAGGCCAACTCTGAACGTGACGGTGACATTATGCAAGCATTTACCCCCTGCCACTCGTAAATTATTTGGTTTGTTCCTAGAAAAGACCCATTACAGACTCTAAAGCAGCGGGGCATCCTTTACACTGTGATACAACAGATCTTCAAAGTTTTCTCCTCCTCTTAGCTTAACACCTTCAGAATTAAACCCACTTTACATTCAGACCGAGGTATCAGCGCCCATCTTTCCCTAAAGCAGTCACACTTGCTGGTGCATAAATATAGCCTGCTTTTCTCACTCTGGTCTTTGTCTGAGCAAGAGATGGATGAGCAGCTGTCTGTTTGCTAAACCAAGTAATCAGGATGTATTACTATGTGCTGTTCTGTTCGAAATATAATATTTTGTTTGTTTTAAAAATGTGGATAAAACTCAACATGCTTGTAATACCTTTGATTTCCATACCTCTAAAGAGAACATGATGAAAAATTGATCTGATTTGTTCTCGCTATGCAAAAGGAAATCTACATTTTTCCTTTAAAACACCAACATTTACTGAATGAACTGAACAGTTCTCAAAGATTTAACTTTTGTTTGAGTCATGCTACTAATATCTAGTCTTTAAACCTCTCTTATCAGAACAGACTGTCATCTGTGCTGTGATTCTTGAATACATTTTTTTATTATTTCTTGGTTAAAATTCAGAACCGACATGTTTAATGTCCCCTCATGAGTTTCCTATTGGATTAAAGTCTGGGCTGCTCACTCCATAAAGTTCATCTCGGTGTCATTGATAGAAATACTTTCTCGATGTGCCGACTACACTTAAACCATTTGTTTGGCAGCATTTTGGGTTTCCAGATGTAAGTGCAACAGAGTGACAGATAAGACACAAAAAATGTGAGTCTGCCAGGTTGTTAAGATGCAGGAACTATTGCTAAATGTCTGAAGAGATTAAATTAAATCAGAAAAAGAAAGATCAATTTGTTAAATTTGTAGCAAAATATGTAAAAATGCAGAATAAAGGTCTATTTGAAGCATAATTTGGCCTTTTCAGTTTTCTTGAACGTAATATTAAAGTCTAACGAACTGCAAACTTTTCACAATCTGGTTTTGGGGAGTTTTAATTGCGGTAATTCCAAGCTCTTAAGGAAAGCAGGGGACATTAATTTCAACTGTGCCACATTCAGGGCTCCTATGGGGGAATCCCTTGCGTGCCACCGTGGCGACAGAGGACCGGTTGGTGAACAGCAATGGTGATTGAAGCCATCAAACGTAAAAAGCAGAGAAGCAAAGAAAGATTTATGTGTGACAAAAAAGCAAAACCATAATACATCAGATACAGGAGAGTCAGGGTGGGGTTACTTCGTTTTCTTTTTTTTTTTAAACAGGTATATATGTGCGTATGCATGAATAAAAAAGGCCTTGTTTGTGGAATTGTGTGATTTATGCTGCCAGTCTTATTATGCATTCTTCCATGTGATTTTTGTCTTCTCTGTATGTGTCCAAGCTCAGATGACTGCCCCCGCATGCCTCAGCCCAAGTCAGCTTGCATTAACGCAGCAGCGTCTTGATTATAAACAGCAAGCAGACCAAAGATGGCTTCAGATGGAGCCAAGTGAGCCACACAGACTGGTTGATCCTCTGTGCCAGAATGATGCAGCCGTACCTGCCTGTGGGCCTGAATTTTCATATCCAGGCTCTCAGTGTGGACAACAGCAAGGACATCATTCGCATGTGTCCACTAAATTCAGCTGTGCGTTTTCCTGAAGAGCCGTCACTTACACATCCTCCTGTTGGAAGCAATTACTGAAGAATGCCCTGTCCTTTGAAGACATAAAAGTTGACTGAAGGTTGATGTGCTTTATGATTAGAGAGATGAACTAATTTGTCAGCTGAAGTTCATAAAGCAAGGAATATCGCAAATAAGAATAACCGGGATGGAGTGCAGTTTCACACGACACGCAAAGAACAACCAATATCTGAGTAGAATTTTATATGTATGAAGCATTTTGTTCACTTTTGTGGCTTCAAACTCAATAGTTTGTGCTATTTAGCAAAGGTAAACATGTATTTTTTTGGACAATTGGATTTTACACATGTTCATGTCTAGGGTTTCAGTGTCAAGGTAAGACTTTAGGTGTAAAATATGAATATTTGCTTCTCTCTGATTTAACTTCTTGTTCTAAGAACACAAACCTGAATTGTTTTTTTTTTCCATTACATTGAAACTTTTCCCATCCCCAAATGATATTTCAGTACCAAAGAATAAAATCTGACACCTCAAAATTTCTCACTCAAACACTTTAAAAACTAGTAAAACAATTATCACCCTAGCTTAACTCTTCCAATCAAATATTAAAAATAACAATATGCATAAAATTATAGTGCTCATTATAAATATATTTAAAAAAAAAGAAATACTGTGGAAATAAGATTTTAAATGGTCATCGTTTTGGTAAGCTTTTTTCTTGCACATTTCAACCGCAAGAGCTAAAACCATTTGTGTACGTTTTGTAGACAGAACATCGCCGGCCACTAGGGGGAGCACCCCACAGTTTGGCTTCAACTTCCAAGTTCTTTGGGTTCCAGCATTAACATGCAGACGTCTGTCAAAACACAGGAACAACCAAATGCACCGAGACATTTTTACAGTGGCGTGGTCTGTTATATTTAAGTTACACATATGAGCTTGCAAACATTTTAGTTACAAGTGTGCAAAAAGAAAATAAAATGACAGATTTTTACTTCAACAGAGAACATATGAAGTGTAAGAAAATACAGTGATAAATGTGAAATCTGTTCATTCCTACTGTTCAAAGTGAGGAAAAAAACGGATTGTCAATTACATTCTGTCAAATATACCATCATTATACAATCATGACATGTTCTGTATGCATCACCTTGGAAGTTTCTTTGCTCTTTAATATAATTTCCACTTTAAAAATGTACTTTTGGTGGGGGGCGAGCACCAACATTTAGCTAAAAATATAAAGTGAGTTAGTGCCAAATTAATGACAACTTAAAATCTGAGTTAAAAGGGAGCAGCTACTAAAAGATACTTTTATTTTCAAATGAAAACATCATCTCCTGTCCAATTTGAATAATTAAACATGTTTTAAAAAGTGGGTAAACTTTTTGGTTGTTTTGCATTATTAGCAAAATTATTTTTATGCTAAGCTCAAGAGATTCTACTTCATCAACTTCACTGTTTAGTCTTGCTGAGAAAATCCAGAACAAACTGCATTCTTTACACTAAGCCCTGTTTGTCAGAGTTTTTCTAGGTCTGTTAACTGTCAACATGAAGCTCTGCTGCTGCGCTGTTAGTGGTAGGTGCTGCAAAACTAATTTCACAGAAAACCGCATCAGTACTTTCGACTTGCCTTTCCTCTGCTCTAATCGCAGCTTCACATTTTAGACTTGTTCTTCTCTTCCTCCTCCGTTTCCTGTGTTAGGACAGCAGCAGCTTGGCAGCGTAGAGCAGCATTCCGCTCAGACCGGCGGTGGCAGCGACGGCGATCACCCTCACTAAGAGGAAGTCCATGGAGTCCTCCAGCTTCGTGTGGAGCCGCAGGACCTGCCTGTGGGTGTCCTCTCGGCTGCCTGAGTTTTCGATGACGTGGTTGGCCAAGCCGCGCTTCTCGTTGAGCGGCATCTGCGCTGCCACGCGCTGCTCGGCCTGCTCCTGGGTCAGGTTGTCCCTCTGCATGAGGCGCTGGAGCTGGGTCGCAGGGTCACTGTAGAGGTTTACAGATTTCCTCTTAAAGATCGCTCACATTTCTGCTTTTGCCACAAAACGTTTAAGATCCAAACAGATAACCTAATAATTCAAACCTTAACATATCTGAAGCTTTCAAATACGAAGCCAGTTTAGGATGGATCTTACCAGTAAACTACGACGGTGTGGTTCAAAAATTTGGTGAGGCGTCTGGTTTCAAACAGGAGGGGAACATCCAAGACCACATATCGGTAACCTGGGGAGTCATTATGGATCAGAAATTATTAATATAAGCACATTTCCACTCTAAATACAAACCAGAGCAGAATACAGGAAGATACTAGTAAATCTGGATGATTCAATTGAAAAAAATTAAAAAAATGAAATTCCATCAGTCTGTTCTTCTGAATTTGAACATTTCTTTAGAGTAATAAAATCAATAAACCAATTTTTATTCCAAAAAATATTTTGTCTTGGTCACCACATGCTGCTGATTTGACAGTTTTCCAAAAGACAATCACTGACACAGTAAACAATGAGGGTAAGCCATGACATCAGCTGCTCACAGAGTGCTCTATAGAAGCTTTTTACTGAAAAAGTTAAGTGGAAGAAAAAAGTGGTTGAGAAGAAACAAGCACCACAAATAAAAAGGGCAGTGTGACTTTTTTTTCTCTCTGGTTAAAGTCAATTTTACATTTTATGTGGAAATCAGGGTTCCACATATAGACATTTTAAGGAAATTTACATATGATTTATATAGATGCATCTGTACAGCGATTTATTTATTTTTGTTTGTAAATTCCAAAATGAGACACAAACCACCCTCACCTCTCAGGAAGTAGAATATGATCTCTTTGAGCATGGCTTTGTGAATCTCGGGGTGTGTGATGGAGTTTAGCAGCCTCCTCTTCTCTTCATGGGCAAAGATGATTTGGCCGAGCTTCTGCCGGTCAATCTGCCCGTTCTCCAGCAGAACCTCGTGCCCAAAGTGGTAGACGATCCGGGAGTAAGCAGGAGTGTGTGGCTCCACAACTAATGTAAAGGACGAGGATGAAACTTTTGGTCATGCTGCCACAAGATTAATCACGTAAAACAGCTCAGTTTTTACATACATGCTTAAAATATTAAAGAAATAACCAGACTGGTAAATAAACATGAGTGGTAGCAGAGTAAACACTACAGGGGTGGGATTTTATACAATTTCGCAACAGATTCATCACTTTCTTGTAATTATATAATTTGCATAATCCCTCGTTTTATTTCGTACGCACAGCAACACACTCCTCTCCCACTTCTGTGACCTTTGTAATCTTCTCTACAGAACTAAGACATCATCCCTGGAGTCAGCGGAGACATCCTTCATGATTCATAACGCTCTCTCCAAGCATTTGTCTTAATGAATTCATTTTATTTGAGAGAAAGTTGCCCGAAGAAGACTTCCAGAGGATGACACGATCAGTTGATATTGAGCAAGAAACACTGACTGTACCTTTTCTGGCCACCACATCTGCATCTATAATGGGGCAGCCGAGCTCCCGTAGCATTGAGGAAACCGTGCTTTTCCCCGAGGCGATCCCCCCGGTCAGTCCCACCAGGAACATCCTGAGGGACACACACAGAAAGGTGCATTCATGATTAATTTTCTTTTTGGCAATTTTTAAATTAAACCTCTAAAATTAATTTAAACATAAAAGAGAGCTTAATGGTTAGGTTAATACTTAGATGGATTGCAGATTGCATCCAAATGTTCAGGAATAAAACAGAAAAAAAAAAAAACAGAAACTATACCAGGGTAAAGATGTAGCACATTGCCCTGAACGCAGCCTCTCATTTGTGAAATATGGTGGTGGTAGCATCATGCTGTGGGAATGCATTTATTCATCAGTGATAGTGAAGGAAATGTAAATTTTACCTTCAAAGTCTTTAAATGACCTGAAGAAATTGACATTTTGAAAATCTCGGCCCTCAGAGACATCTTAATTCATGAGAAATTGAGAGGCTGGATGGTAAAATTATTATAAATACCAGATTTTTTTTTTAAATGTAACATGTTAACAGCCATGGTAACATGCATTGTACTGTAAAAACACAGGACTTCAAGTAACTGTGACATTGAAAAAAAGGTGCATGTTTCTTCAAACTAAAGAAAACAGAAAGTACCTTAAATGAATATCAGTACTTCAACATAGTTTTACTCAGAAAAAAGTACAAAAATATTCATCCAAGAAATTATTCAAATTCCAATTTTTACTTTATCAGACAAAAAAAAAAAATCCTCTGCCTGTTTTCAATGTCTATTCAACACGCCCCCTGATGGAAAAGAAGAGAACTACATATTAAATACCATGTCGCTTCTGCATAACTGGCCAACTGGTTTCACTGGTCCAAACAGTTATAAACCAAGTTCATCTCGAGTGAACGTGAAGTTAAAACCGTGAAGAATCTGAACTGCTCAGAGAGAGACTACAATTAACCGCTAACTGCTTACAGAGCCACTGTTAATAAAGCACAACCGTTAAGTCAGTCGACATGTCTCATTCTTTTCCATATTTACCTTTTTCAAAGTTAGAAAATCGTCAAAATCAGTTGAGGTACAGTAGAAATCCGGGGAGGGTCACGGCGCTGCAGCATGAAAAACAGCCAGGAATGCTAACAGGCTAACGCTAGCAACAGTGTTTATCAGATTAAAACGACCACAAACATCCGACCAAACGACACAGTCGTCATTTTTAAAATAATGCGGTCGGAGCTGAAGACGAACAAACAGGTTGGAGGTAGATCTATAGCGCGATACCGCTGGGTTTATATTCTAACTTGTACCCTACTTAGTGCTAGCAATGTAGCCTATTAGTTTCCCCAGGGTAACCTTAATATGACCCCGGGCTTTCTTTCTGTATCAATATTAGTTCCGCCTGCCCTAATATTGAGGCGCTTGTTCTTAAATAAATTAAAAATATTTATACTTGAGCTTTTACGCTAAATTAAACATTTGTAGATTAAACCCAAAACTCTAATAAGATTTACTTAATTATAAGGAATTAAGCACAATTTTAAAAAATAAAAAGGGGAGATTATTATATATTTTATGGCATGATATTTTACGGCATAATTAAATAACTATGTTATCTTCAGCTGTTATAAAATGGCTTTACATACGAAACATGAACTCTGACTTTGCAATTTGACGTATGGAAATTATCCTGTCTCTTTAAGAAGCTCCTATTGCCACGCCTACTTCATCACATTAATGCTGGACTGAGATAAAGTGTGATAAAGTCTGTGGACTGCAGATCCACCAGGTATTTGCTAACTGATGTCACATGAAATAAACTGACTAAATGCATAAATAATTAGATATCTTCCTAGTGTAAAATGCCAAAAAGAAAATTTTTATTAGTTCTGGATTTAGTTCATTAATCAAAATTGTAAAAAGGCTTTTGACAGTATTATAAATGTAGGAACATACTTTGCCGATTTTCTTAAAATGGGGGAAAAAATAGATCGTATTATATATTTTTCTGTCAAATTCTTGTGTTAATACCCTCAAATGCCTCTTTTTGCCTCAAACACATAAAAGTATATTGCCCTGAATGCAATACTTTAATTGCATGTCATTACACACACAATACATAACAGTACTGTGTTATTACACGGTACTTGAAGGAGATTTTGCAGTGCAAGTTGAATTTCTTTGAGGATTACTTTAAATCATTTTTAAATTATCTTCCTCAAAAGAGAAAAACTGAAAACAATAATTCCTTCAATGGTATGTTTAATTTGAAGCCAAGCCTATGCTTGCACAAATAAAAACAACAGTAGGAAAAATTTAACCCATTCCCAAAAAGAAAACAAAATTTCTTAAATTAACTAAATCAAGTCCTGCAAGTCAGTCATTGCCCCGGAAACCAGAAAGTTAATCCTCTTGTTCCTGCTGCACGGTTTGCTTTGGAATCTCAGAGGAACCAGACGGAGAGGATGCATTGTAGGAGTGTTTGGATTTTTTCCCTCTGTGGATTGTTTCATCTCCGTTCTCTCCTTCCTCTCGCTCCAGTCTTCCTCTCTTAACAAAGTGGTTTATTCGGGACTCCAGGCTCTCGCAGCATGGACGCTCCAGCAGCGGGCGGTAATTCTTCTGCCTGCTGCCTTCCACCAGCCAGCAGTGGTTGTTAGAAACGCCACCTGTGGATTGAGAGCAGGAACCCAATTTGCACACGACTCAATATTGTTTCATTGGATTCATTTGGACTTTGTTAAAAAAAAGAAAAAGATATGTTTTTTCTCTTTTCATTGTTAAAGCTGGCTCTGTTGACAACAGTATTTTTGCAGAAGTATTTTTGGCTGTTTAACCTTTTTATATTTTTATCATTTCACAATCAAAAAAACAACAACTTCATAATAAAGTTTTTTGTTGCCAAGTGTCTGCAAATGGTCCACACCAAGAGAATTAAATTCTTGCACTTCCTTCCCCCACAAAAATTTTTTTGCTCTAAATATCTTCCATGCTGAAGAAAAAGCACGAGCCAAAGAGGCAATTAGTTATAATGCATTTGATCTAAGAGCATCAACATAAAGGGAGCTGACAACGAAAGCATGCAAACCTGCAAAACCAGCATGACCCCTCAAAAAACAACATCCCTCTTTCACTTTACAATAACATGCTATTTTGAGTTGGTTCATCACACAAAATCTCAGTAAAACACATTGAGGTTTGTAGTTACAATGTAAAAATGTAGAAAGTTCAAAGGGTGGAAGCACTGTTTTTTTTTTCTTTCAATTTTTAACACAGAACTCCTTACCTCTCTCCTCCAATCCCCGGATCATCCCGAGCAGAACGTGGGCTTTGACGGCGCTCTGCGTCCAGTGTCGCTGTAGTGATGACAGGACGTTGCCAACCTCCTCTTCCTCCTGCTGCCAGGTTAAACCATCGAAGTGGCAGTCGTACAGAACCAGAGGATAGTCTACTGCCATGCTGCAAGCCAGAAGAACAAACCTATGCACATTATCTCCTGTTAAAAGATGCACCAAAACACGTCTGCTGTCTTTATTTGATGCAGAGGAGTGAGTGGCTTCACAGCAAGCTCACTGGATCACAAAGAAGAGGCTCGTGCTTCTACCAAGGTTCGCTTCAAAGGTTCAGCAGGAAGTACAATGATTTCTGTACATTTTTTTAAATCTCTCCAGATAAAAAAACATAATCTTAGATGGGTTTTATTTATGTATTTATGGTTTGTTTTTTACTAGCCTAAGGCTATTTTTTTATTCTAAAACATTGTTAGTTTAAAGAGCTCCTGAACTTTTTCTGATGATAAAAAACTCAAGGTATTTCAATAACCTTAATTCTTCTTTGTACCAGCAAAAAGTAACACAAATGCCAACAGGTTGCTGTTTTGTCACCTATATTGAGGCTTTCTGGGATTTTTTTCAACATCCAGGAGTTGATCGATTATCTCCGGAGCTTCCAGCTGTTGTCCTATCAAAAGAAGCACCGCCATCATGCAACGCACCTGCAGCAGGACGTATGATTAGTTGCAAATTACCTTCTACTTAAAGAGATGCACCGGCTTCTCCTCAGTGTTAAGCTCTTATTACCTGGTGGTAAAGAAAGGCTAATCCTTTGATCTCAAACACAAACAGATCATATTGCTCTGTGCTGGAAACCTGCTGGGGCTGCAAAGGCCTGACCGAGGCCGACAAGATGGTCCTCTCAAACTGCAGGACCCCATTCCCCACGTCCATTTTGCACAGATTGCGAAAGTCATGTGTTCCTTCGTATCTGTTGGTCACCAAAAGATCTTTATATTAGAAAAATTATGGGGCAAAATCAGCATTTATAGTTTCACAATCACCTTTTTGCAGCGTTTGCCATCAGCTCTACATCCAATGACCCTCGGGGGAAGTAGTAGCGGTACGTGCGGGACTGACAGTCGAAGCGCGCACTGAAACCTTGCTCTGCGGCTGCCCAGTCCAAGATCCGAATGTCTTGTGGCAAAACTCTGTTCAGCATCTTCACATATGGCAGCTCAGAGGTGGAAGCTTTTGATTTGATGCCGAGATCGAGATTTTCAGGGAGGGTGACTCCAGGTCCTCCACAAAACTGGGACGAGCGCAGGTCAATGGTTATAACCTGGGATGTGGAGAGATCAATTATCACTTAGTCAAAGCCCATAAAGAAGACATACAGCTGCATTTAAAAAATGATTACCCATTGAAGTTCTCCATATCTTGTTGGTTTACAAACACAAACTTTAAAAGAGACCTATCAGGTAAAATTCACTTTTCACTGCTGATGCTTTACAAAGATGTACGGTTGTATAGTTGCGCTAATGCTTGCAACCGTTTTCAGATGTGAGTGTAAAGGTTTCTAATTGTTACACAATTAGAAAAACCATTTTGTGCTTGTGTGAAGAAACGACGTTTAAAATAAATGAGTCAGCACACCTTTACGGAGGCATCTGGAGGACATTAAACTCACTTGAGAAAAAGCACTGACTCCTTTATCAGTTCGACCACAGCGGTGATAGTTGGAGCTCTGTCTGTCCTGAATCAGCCGCGTCTTCAGCAGGGCTTCAAACAGCCTGGCCTCCACCGTGTTGTCCGTGTTCTCCTGAACAGCGAAGCCCTGGTAGGACCAGCCCAGGTAAGCCAGCTTCAGAGCCACATGGCGCCTGGGGTGTGAGCTGAAGTCAAAGGGACGCTGCTTCTTGCCTGACTCCTTCTTGCTGCTCCTGCTGTTCCCATCAGACATCATGAAGTCTGAGCTTTCTCTGGGGGGAGAACAGGAAGTCATCCCCATGTCTCCTCCAATATTTTCTCTCAGCTGGGACCTGAGTTTGTCCAGTTCATCTTCCAAGAGCTTTATCCTCTGAATTAAATGACCTGACATGCTGGATAGATGGAGACAAAAACTATTAGGCTACCAAATGTTAAACAGATAACATGGAATGTTGAGATTTAGCATGAAGAAAATATAGGAATGACATTTAATGTCATAAACTGAATAAATCGAGTTGGTAGAGAAACCAACTTAAAGGTTCATTCGCAGTTCAGAACTGCTACAAGGGTGCTATCTTAATATAAAAGGTACAGAAACAGGATTTGAAAACACAAACGCTAACTTTTACCTCTATAAATTTAAGAATTTACCTTTATGTTCCCGTTAAATTACCACTTTCAAACAAATCTTTGATTTGCTGTAACGAGCACGCGACTCTCCGAGTTGCTGCTAACATGGAGACGGACAGCTTTAGCAAGCGGACGTTCAGGCCGCAGAGGATTCTGGGAAGTGTATTTCACAACGCAACCACCCGAAAAGGGAGTAAAACAGGGAACTGTTTGATGAAACTGAGGTAGGAGATTAAGGTGAGGGTTTTTTTTAATCTCACCTTAGTTTAGATCAAAAGTTTCATTATTTTAGTGTCCCTAAAACAAACACACATTTGTTACCATAGAAATTTATTCTTTGAAGTTAACCTGCTTTACATTAGACAAACTGTTAACCTAAGTTAAATGTTGTCTTTCAGTGTGTTCTTCTAAATGTACAGTTCAGAAAAGAAATGCATTTTACACATCGTCCATGTTTTTATCAAGAATTGAGTACTTTGTTATGTGTGCATTATTTTTGTGTGATAGCAATATACTTTGTCCCAAATCATAATTTTCATAAAATATACCAGTTTTACAATCTTGGGACATATTTAGATTTGGACTTTGATTGGACCATTGTAGCACATACATATCCTGTGATCTAAGCCATTTCTTCGTAACTCTGGTTTTGTTTGTGGTTTTTGTCCTGCATGAAGGTGAATCTCCACAGTTCACACTACCTTTAAGTCTTGTGTTGCTTTTAACAAGTTTTCTTCCTGTAATGTCCTTTATTTAGCTCTGACCTCTGTGCCCAGCCTCCCCGTTTCTGCTGGTTAGAAGCAAAGCGGTACCCTTCGACCAAGTTTCAAATTGTTGTCTTTTTTTTAAGCGTTGAACTAATTTTCTTCCAACATTGCTCTGCATTTAACTCGGACATCTCCCATCAACTCTGACTTTATTTTGCTAGATAGGCTAATTAATCATATGAATGGATTAATTTAAGGACCCATTAACGTTTAACCTGTACAACCTAATGATTTGAGCTCTGTTCTTAGAAATAACTAACACCTAAACAGTTTGAAATTAATATAGAATATGGATCAGAACATTTCATTTTTTAGTCTTTTTATTGACTGAAGAGGTTTAAGTAACAATTACATGAAACAAAAATATATATTATGATCAAACAAGTTTATTAGTTTGTTTGTAGATGTGTGAAGATGGTTGTGATGATGAATTAGTCGACATTCTCATAATTATTGCGTTTAATGTCCAGGCAGAGGCATAGTCCGACTACCACACCAAACACCTGCAACGGGTAAAAGATGGATTTAGATGCTGGGAATAAGATAATGTGGCATACCTACTCAGTTGCTTTAGCTTTTAAAATAACATATCTGTCTTTGAATTTGCTTTAGTAAGAAAGGAGTCTGATTTTTGCAGAATCCTACCAGGTGAAATTTACATTTGGTACATAAATGCAGTGGCTAAACATGTGCTTCTTTCGTGTATTTTTCCAAGGAAAGTTGTAAAGTCTGTCTTTGATTCACATTCTGGCTTTTAATAAATACATTTTTATATAATTTAAGGCTTCTGACGTCTTAGTAAACTTTACAAGCAGGTTACCTCTGTTATTCCGAGAGCAATGCAAACACCGCCGACCCACACCAGATTCTTCAACAGAAAGAGCTTTATAGCTGAGATGCATCCCTGAGGAAGAAGACAGAGTTTAACTGTTTGTCCTCAGAAATGTGGTTAGACTCTTCAGCTGAAATATCTCAGCAGAGCAGACCTTTTTGTGAGCTTTATCCTTGTCATGTCCGCAGCCTTCTCTCTTCTCCGGGCAGCAGGAATCTGGCACAGCTTCTTGGTTTCCCCAGCCCACACTTCTGGACCAGTCGGTGGAAGTGTCGGCGCCGCAGCAGCTGAACTGCAGCAAAAGTTAAAGTAGAGAAAGGTTAAAAGTTAGAAGTTGCACCCTAAATCCCTAAATTACATTTTGTCCGTTTTGAAAAAGAAAAAACCCCCAGAAAGGAACAGTATGAATAACTTCATTACAATTATGGAGATTTAAAATTACATTTGAACAAAAAATGGATGCACAAGTTTAAATTAATTCTACTCCTTTGCTGTTCTAATCCACCCATATGTCTGATATTTTGTTAAATATCCCTTGTCTACAGTTGAGAGGAAGCAGTTATAGATCCTCAGGAAGGCCAGTTGTGTGCTAAGGGGCCCCTTTAACATTGTGAATGTGGATGGAGACAGAAGGAGTCTTGATAAGATAACGTCACTGTTGGACAATGTCCCCCTCCTCATGCATAAAGCTGTTACTGAACTAAAGAGCACCTTCAGTTGCTGCGCCTCCATTAACCATTGAAATGCGCAAATCTGAATTACAAAAACACAAATTTGGAAAAAAAAAACTCCCAAAAAACAAAATTGTTTTTTTGATTAAAAAAAAGTTTTTGCGCTAGGATGAAGTGGTTTTCCAACCGTACTTTAGTAACTTCATGTGATCAACAGCAAAATTTTACTACTGGTGAAAACAACAAAGAAGGACAACAGGAAGTAGTGGGAGGATGAATCTGCATACTTTTGTTCGTCTTCCTCTTTGCTGCTGGCCCCTCAGTGAAAGACAATAAAGGTCATTTCTATTCCATTTCTCCCAGTGTTGTTGATCACCTTTTCCTGAATCCTGTTGATGGCGTGTCTGTCCTTTGGGCTGTATTCGTAGACCGCGGCACGAGCTCGGGTGTTGATCCCGCTGTTCATCTGCAGAAGGGCAGTCTGCAGAAAAAATCTGAGATCAACATCAGCCCATGATGGCACAAGCACTTAGTTTTATTTAAGGTACTAGCATGTTTTTTGTATATGATATTAAAGATATCTTCAAATCCATTCTTCAGTTTTTTTTAGTTTGATGTAGAAATAATGTAATTGATTAAAGTGCCTCACCCTGCTGCGAAATATATAAAAAGCAGCTCCTGTAAATATCTCCAAAAGGACGATGATTATCAGGATGCAGATGAACTAATCCACCAAGAAACAGAGAATAATTAAACTTTATCTTTAGATGAACTTGAGTCACATTTAACAAAGAGAGTTTCAAAACTATTTTGGAATATTTGGTACATACACAAGACACCATGGAAGAATTATTCAGGAATGCCCCACAGTGTCCCAAAAGGGACACAAGGATGATGGTGGCGCCCACTGCAATGAGGACGATGGCAATTTTGGAAAAGCTGCTCCCTGCAAAAGTGCCGATCTGCGAGTAGGTCGAGTACTGGAGCGCTCCGATCGTGATGAGGGCGACCCCAGATGCCTGAAGGACAAAACGAAACACCTCACAATACTCCTGTTGCAATATAAAGCTGAGCTAATACTCATGACCTAGTAGTCAATTTCTTAATCTATCAAATTTCAATCCGAAAAATTAATTATTTTACCCTTTTATTGAATAATCTATGAAAAAAACTGAAGAATCTGCATATTTTTCTAAGATGTATATTATAGATTTAGAATCAATAATAATCTCAGGGCTATTGGAAGAGAAAAGTAAGAAATAAAATGTATTGTTATTCTCACTAAGAACTACTTTATAGATAAATTAAGCAAAAATAAAAGCAAAAATGTTTTTTGTCCTTCTGAGGGGAGGAGACGTCATGGCTGCCTGAATAGCCAATCAGAAGTTATGTTAGGCAGCCAATAAAAACATTATTATTTTATTTATTAAAAAATATGTTTTAGACTAACATTTCCTAGAGCTCCAAGAATGAAAATAAATCTTAAGTGTAGCCAAAATAACACTTTGAGGGTTTTTGTCACATTATATAGCCATTCCTTATCCCAAAATATAAGGTAGTTTGTGTTAAAACTATGACAAATCCAAAGTTTTCTCAATTTATGAAGCAGATTATTTAAATTAGACCTGTTTCCATGTATTGTGGTGTTCATAGAAAGACATGGAAGAAGTCTCCCAGAGTCAAACAGATCAAGTGAAAAAGAGCTCAGAAAAATAGGCAATTTATCTGTTAAACTGTACAAAGTTACACTGACATCAAAAAGGGTCACAAGCTCACACTCTGTCTTCAAGTTATTCATTTGGGACTTTTTAATTAGGCTTGGTTTGTCCTATCAGTTTAACTGTCTATGAAGAGAACAAGTAACTCTGCTAAATAATTTCAGAATTTTGTCCCCCAGATGTTGTTCATTTATAGAAAACCACGACATCCTGGAATAATAATTTTATTTTTTTTATGAGAAATGACAAAAGAGCTCTTCTTTTCAACTTAATCCTAGCGTTTTCATCTGGTTTAAGAACTTCCTCAGACAAGTCGATTTCTTCCAGTGCTGTATTTACTAGACATGTGGTGCATTCTCATCATTTTTCCTGTTGAATATGACATGCTCACTTGAAAATGCAGGCTTTTGTTTCTCCCTGCTAACTCGTATCTTTTTTATGATTACTTTGTATATTAATAAATTTGACCAGTGCATCTCCTAGCGCTATTCTCAAAAAGGAAAACTGTTGGCAGTACTCACCAAGAAGATGCCGTTGAAGAAAATGAACCAACATTTGATGCTGCAGAAAGAACACATAGTGAAACAATTAGCTCTATGTTGCCTTGAACTGAAATAACAAAAGCTTTAGTCGCTTCCTGGTCGACAGCAGCTCTCAGTCTCTCTGAACTGATCTGTGTGTCTATCATTCAGCTGTAAGAAAATGAGAAGTGGCTTGATTACGTTTAAACAGACGTATCTGATCAAAAGGCAGGACACCTTTTAAAAGATTTGCATTGTAGCATCATGCAAGAAGTTGCTCATTTGAAATTTTGCTGGTTGTCTTTGTCTGGTGAACCATTCAGGAGAAAAAAATTGTGCACAACTAAGAGCAGTATTACTTTGACTTATTTTTGTTAGGCAGAAGTAAAAAGTAGTTGCTCAACTTAGCGCAGTAGTAATTTATGTATGGAGTGACATTATCAGGCAGAAATATAAAATTACCTAAACTGTTGCCATCTAACATACAGGTACCTTCAGTTACTAAAAAAGCCTTAACATAAACAGCTTGTTAAGGGTTCTTTGGGACTTTTCTTTATGATCTTGCCTACTTTGCATGGTGACAAGAAAAAGTCGGGTTCTAATCCAGTCTAATGGCCAGATGTTGGATGTGTTACATCATATTTATGAGATTTTACATTGTAGAAACTTTGCAATAAATGCATTTCCTTCAGAAAACATGGGATTTTTCTGTCTGCCACAGCTTAAACTATTTTCTCCAACATTTGGCTGCTGAGCATCTGCAGGAAACCTGGTCCAACTCCACAGTCTGGAAAAGACTTGAGGCCTCCAGCCTGAACACAGCGGTCTCCATCTGAATTTGCTCCGGGGATCCTCAGCTTTTCTCTGTTCTGCAGATCTTCTTATGCTCCAATCGCCTGAGTTTTTTTTTTCCTGATTTTCTCAGAGCTTAAGCCAGGCTCAGTCGCCTGAGAGGAAACCACAACCTCTGTCAGAAATATAAATGAATAAATAAATAAAATCATTTCTCCTGGAGGAAGTTTCTGTCAGTTTAATTTTTACTTTGTAGCAAACAACCAGAATTACGGCTATAACACAAAGTTGTATTTACCAGCTTAGCATCCTGAATGTGGAAAAGATCGCTCAATAAACATTTATGCAATTGTTGTAATTAATCACACATGTTTCTATTTGATAAAGTTTCAAAGACAATCACAAAACAACAATAAACCTCACAATTAAGAAACAATATTCTTCATCAGTAAAGTCCCAAAATAGTGATACAGCACCAGAAAGATCAGCTTTGTATTATTATGCCTCCTTCTTTGGAGTTTCTGTTATTAAATCCCATTTCATTAATCAGTTTCATCCCAAATGTTGACAGCAATTTTTGTGTAATTTGTTTCTGTTGTGTATTTTCTATTTTCAGCATATATCTCACTTGGCCTAGAAAAAGTGCTTACATTTCATGATTTTGTTTTAAATATATCATATTTTCCAGACTATAAACCGCACCTCACTATAAGCTGCACCTGCACAGTTTTTTTAAAAAAAAACTGGAAACATAAATATATAAGCTGCTGATGTCTGCGCTGCTATCAATCTATACTGCCAGATCGAAAGCCTTCAACTTAAAAGCGTCATCATATGAACTTTATACTGTGGGTTCCATGATGAGTTTGAAAACATTTCTCAGTTGTGCCTGCTGTGCTTGTTCTAAATGTAAGTCAGGATTTTCGTCTTTGATTTCCAATGATTTGGTTGTCCTTTCCTGACCTCTAGAAACATTTCTTCACATCTTTAAAATGATAGACAAATAAAAATGTTTGCTGCACAAATGTAACACAAACGTTTGACACCAATTTTGTCTGATTTGAAGAAGGTGGGGTAGGGCCAACTTCACTCAGGTCAAAAAAGCTTGCAGTTCTAAAACCATCCAGGCTGAAGGGTCATCCACAAGGGGGCGCATTTTGCTCCTCTTCAACCTTGAAAACGCCTTGAGTCAATTGCCTTGCAGATAGGTAATTGCAAGGGATGTGTCCTTTCTGTAAGGACACATCCCTTCCAGTAAGGGATGTGTCCTTGTTTCATTGTCTTGGACTGATGGACTCATGTGGAGTCCCCAAGTGTTGGAGCGAGTTTCTGGAAATGAGATGAATAATGACTTGTAGAGAGTCTTTGAAGAAATGCATGAGAACAGGAAGTTAAATCATTACCATAGTTGGAGTGCGCAGCGCTCTGAAAGGACTGTGTCCTTCCCACGCTGTAATGTTTTCCTGTTTGGAATTCCAGACAACTGGTCAAAACTTTGAAATGTTTTTAAGTGATAAGGATAATTCCTGTCAAAGCACAAAGCACTGTAAAACAATAAATCACTCTTTTTTATTATTATTATCTGTGATTCAATGAGTTTAGCAGCCCAGCAGATTAGTGTAAATTCCTGGATGCACATACACACATTTTTCCAGTATACCAGAAGATAAATAAACTGCAGGATAGATAGATTCTTCAGTCAAAATGATGAACAGAACAAGAAAAACGTAATTGACAAACTTTATCGTAGACCTGTCTGCAAAGAAAATGATCAAAACCCCCTGAAATAGAGAGAAACCGGGGAAAACGCAAACAACTCACTTTTGAACATGAAAGGAACAGCGGAAGATTACTGTATTTATGCGAGATAGTTCCTGAAATTAACATATTTCTCCATGAACAAACTCAGTGGGTTTGTTTATGGTGAAGATGTGCGAGCCTGATTAATGAGGCATCTAAAATTGAGCAGAATCGAGGTTTTACAGTGCTGTGCAGAGCTGCAGACACTGATTTTATGTCAGCTTCATCATTCCTCAGGCTGCTCCATCCATCCATCAGTGGGTTTTGATGCGAGGCGACAAGTTTTCTGTCTGAAGTAAATGATGGCCAGCTGCTACATGGTACCACCTACCCCCTCCATGCACACACAGCTGGTAGCCTAGACGTTTTCTGACATGAGTTTTCAACTTACATTTTGCTCCAAACATCACATCTATTGGGACATAATGCTCAAAATTTGCTACAGTATATTTTGTAGCTAATCACCAGCAAATAGAAATTGTCTGGTTGTTTATATGTCATGTTAATTTGAATCAATCAATAACTTATTAAAAACACTTTTTTGTTTAGTCTCAACACTGAACATTAACATATGGGGCTCCTGTGGGTTGAAAAATGGCTCCCAGATGGGTTACATAATGGCCCCTTGTCATTCAGCTGTTTTTTGTTCAGCTATTTCATTGTACATTTAAAGATGAGAATGTGAGACTTAAGTATTATGTAATGCAGAAATAATTTAAGTTCACTTGGTGTTTGAAGATTTAAAGGTTTATAAGTTGATGAGAGGAGCAGGAATTAATAAAATCTTGTATCTTTTACTTGCTCCTTTTTGAACAGATAACGTAACATTGCATGTCAATTGGGCATGATAATTTGTTTGAATTTTTTTCTTTCTTGCTTTTGTCTGTTTGAAATAAATAAAAAAGGTTGTTGTGGAACTCATCGACTAAATAAAGGTAAATGCAAAAACTTTGACAGTATTTTTATCGTCAGATTAAGTTGCATCTTCCAATAAATGAAGTGACAGTAAAATATGTCACTCCTATTTATGCTTTTTAAAACACAAAGTCTAATGTAGCCTGAAAAAAATATTCATACTTACTGCATATGTTTGTTGTTTTTTTTTTTATAGCAAACACAAACTTCAATGTGTTTTATTGAAATTTTACTAAATATTTGGAGCTAAAGTGACGCTTTTTTCTTGTATATTATTATTATTATTTCAAAAAATAATTAACAGTTAAAATGCAGCTCTGGCTGAATATTCATAAGATGAACTTCTTCCTAAGTCTCAAGCTCTTCATCCATTTTTTTATTAATTAAAACCAACTGCAAAGAAAAGCAACCCCACAGCATAATAATACTACCACCGTGTTTAACAGTGGAAATAGAGCAGTTGGAGTCTTAGTTTTTTGCACATCTTTGCTGTGGAAAAGATTTGTAACAGTTTTGGAGTGCACTGCTTAGTTGCCTCAGAATAGAATAGAATTTTCCACCTGAGCTGTGGATATCTGCTGCTCCTCCAGAGATACTATGGGCTTCTCTGCTGCTCCCCTAATTTATTGTCATACAATTTCTCTAGCAAATTACAGCTGCCTTCATAGGATAGCTGGATTTCTGAAATTATTAAGTAAGAGGGGGTTAACATAAATGCACACCACACTTTTCAGATTTTCATTAGCAAAAAAAAGAAATGATGAACATGTTTGTCATTAAAAAAAAATTAACACTATACATTGAAGTTTGTGGTTGTAATGTGACAAAATGTAAAAAAGTTGAAAGGGTAGGAAAACATCTTCCAGGTACTATGACCATCATTTGAATACTGAGATTAGATAAAGGTAACCTGCGGCAAACACATGTTCACAACATAACTTAAGACACACCTTGAAAGCATCCATTTGAATACAATTTGCAAAAAAAAAGGCCCATTGTTCAATGCAAACCTCTTAGGTCACATGGTCCCTGCTCTCCACTTTTGCTCCTGCGATCAGACTAAAAGAGATTTCAAGAGATTTTGGTAGATATTTTCTCGCTACACAGCAAAGTCAAGGCTTTGAGATAGTTGCTCTACTGGCTCTTCTTGTTTCCTCACTGTGACTCTGTTACAACAGCTCACGCAACGCTTTGTTGAGTGTTTACAGGGAGAAGCGAGGACAAAAAGTACAATGGCAGAGACAAGCTGACAGCTGAGATTGGATTTGAACGAGGGGATCTTTTTAGCGTAAGTTTGCTTTTAATTCTCTTTTCCTTATTCTTTTCCCATCTTGTTGCTATTCAGTTTGTCTTCAGGTTGAATGCTTTCCCTCACCCACTCACTTCCTTCTCTTACTCTTCCCGTCCCTTCATTCAGTACAGAGGGCCAACGGGGGGCTGGACATCTGTGTTTTTGATTGGCCTTTCCCGATAAATCTGCCCGTTTCCTGCACATGTACCGCGAGGCAGAGAGAAAACAGAGGCTCTCTCTGAAGATGTGTGAATACAGACAGAGCTGTGAAGTTGCACCTAACTTTCACTTTGGGCTTTTAAA